GAAGGGATAAAAAAACATATAAATGGGTCTGGAGGGTTTTTGTAACTTACATAGGAGGCACCTACACTTATTGTTTGTGACCTGTGGAATATTACCTACGTTTTTATTTGCCTACTGAAAGTCATTGCTTTTATCTTAAACTGTGGTTGACTTTCTCCTTTATCTCAGAATTCCTAATACATGTCCTCTTTTGGTCAGTTTTAATTTGAGATCCTCTAATCATTTCATTACTATCAGTAGTTCTGCCAACTTCAGAAATTTTTATTTGGTCTTCTTTAGGTTACTTAAATTCCTTATGAAAATTATAATTATCTTTGCATGCACTTGGTGTGTGGTGTGGCTGACCCAGAGGTCTAAACTGTAGCACAAAACAAAATCAACTCTGTTCTATTACTATCTATCTTTCTTCTAAGGCACAGGTGTAGCTATATAGATGTATGTGCATATTAAAAGTTAGATCAGATCCTAGAAAGTCAATGTCACTGTCACTGTCACCGTCCTCCCATTGTTCATCGATTTGTTCAAGCAGGCCCAGTAACATCTCCATTTTGAGACTTGTTGTTACTGTGTTTGGCATATCGATACCCAGGCTTTGCCAAGAGGGCGAGATACTCTCAGTAGCTTGCCGGGCTCTCCGAGAAGGGCGGAGGAATCGAACTCCAGTCGGCCATGTTGGCTGCTTGCCAGGCAACGCCCTACCCCCTGTGTTATCGCTCCAGCCCATCCTAGAAAGTAGACATATCTTATTGAAATTCTTGATTTCTTATCATTTCTTTTTCATATGTACATATTTAGGAATTATTTTACATGATCAAAAACTATTGACTGTTAAAAAGTAATATATTGGAAATATATTGTGGGAATAATTACATGTGGAAGTAAAATATAATAAAACATGATAGCATAAATCGACTTTCACTGTTTAAAGGTGCTTATATTGTTTATGAACTTTAAAATCAGTACAGGGGGCTGGAGCAATAGCACAGTGGGTAGGGAGTTTGCTTTGCACGCGCAGACCCAAGTTCGATTCCCAGCATCCCATATGGTCCCCTGAGCACCGACAGGGGTAATTCCTGAGTGAAGAGCCAGGAGTAACCCCTGTGCATTGTCGGGTGTGACCCAAAAAGCAAAAATAAATAAATAAAAATAAAAATAAAAAAATAAAAGTTCAGGATTTATTGTCATAAATTTAATCTCTATATTATGACTTCTAGGTCAGCCTAGAAATTAAAAACATATGCATTCATAGTTAAATTTTACTCTTCAAGAGCCAGGCAGATTTACCTTGCATGCATCCAACCCAAATTCAATCCCTGGCATGCCATATGCTCCCAACCCCTGCCAGAACTCATATCAGAGCACAGACCCAGGAGTAAGCCCTGAACACAGCAGGATCTATTTCACAAACAAAACAAAGCCATCCGGGGACTTAAAATGAAATGGTCAAATAATTTATTATTATACTACAAATTATAGAACAGGAGAAAAAAGAATAAAAATAGATGCAATAAACACAGACATATTAATAGTTGTACTAAATGTAAATAGTCTAAGAATTGGAAGCAGAAATTGTCATATGTGACAATCTTGTCATCAATACTTACTGAGATATTGCATAAATGAGGACACATTTGCTAATTCACAAATTCTATTGTATGCCAGTTTTATCCAAAAGCCAGTTTTCTGCCAGACTATTCTCAGTGGTTGTCACTAGACAGGATTGTTAAGGGTGTATAGTCAGGGAGGTGGGAATTTCACCAGTTGTTCCTTGTATGTATTATTAAAGTACTTTAGTATGAATTGACATTGTTGACTGTGAATGAAATGAGGCCTAAAATACAAAGATACCACGTTGATTGGGAAAAATATTTGCACTTCATATACCTGATAGAGGGCATAAAAATATATTTTAAGCACATTTAAAGCTGAACAGCAAAACAACAACAAACTCTAAAAACTGGGGAGAGGCAATAAACAGACACTTCCTCAAAGATGACCAACAAGCACATGAAAGAAAATGTTCATGACCATTGGCTATCAGGGAAAAGCAAATCAAAACAATAGGCTATCACCTTACCCAGGAAGAATGGGTAAGGGATATAAAATTAAAAAGTCTAGAAGCAAGCACTGGTGGAGATGTGTTGACAAAGGAACTTTCATTCACTACTGGTTGGTTAAGCCTCTTTGGGAAGTGGTTTGGGGACATTTCAGCAATTTCAGTACAACTTCCATGTGACCTTGTGATCTACTCCTGAATATTTACCTCAGGAACTGTAGCACTGCACTGTCCTCCCATTGTTCATTGATTTGCTCAAACGGGCACCAGTAGCGTCTCCATTGTGAGACTTCTTGTTACTGTTTTTGGAGTATCAAATACACCATGGGGAGCTTTCTGGGCTCTCCCATGCGGGTAGGATACTCTCGGTAGCTTGCCGGGCTCTCTGAGAGGGACAGAGGAATCGAACTTGGGTCAGCCGCATGCATGGCAAACGCCCTACCTGCTGTGCTTTTGCTCCAGCCCACCTCGAGAACATAACAACATTAATACAAAAGGACATGTGTATACCTATATTCATGGCAGCATTATTTACAGTGATCAAGGTCTAGAAATAGCCCAAGTGCCCAGCAACATATAAGTGGAAAAATAAATTGTACTATAAATATCACTGTATCACTGTCACTGTATCACTGTCATCCTGTTGTTCGTCAATTTACTTGAGCGGGCACCAGTAATGTCTCCATTCGTCCCAGCCCTGAGATTTTAGCAGCCTCTCCTTCTTGTCTTTCCCAATGCTGCCATATTGGAGGCTCTTTCCGGGTCAGGGGAATGAGATGACTGGTTATTGTTACTGTTTTTGGCATACCAAATATGCCACGGCCTAGCAAGGTACCTGTAGTATGTATACAATAATAAGATACTACCAAACTGTGAGAAATAGATGAAACCTTGCAGTTTACTATAACTTGGATAGAATTTGAGGAATTCATACTAAGTGAGGTAACTCAGAAAGAAGACAAATACCAGATGATCTTGCTCATATACATGCATCGTATAGAAAAATGGCACAGGGATTAGATGGTCCCCCAAAGCAAACAAACCCTGAGATGTGGTCAGTGAACATAATCTGAGGATGCTAGAAAGGAGTGGGAGGGATCTTGGTACTCTGGTGATGGGCATATAGAGAAGCACTGCAAGTCTAAAACCTGCACATTGGTTTATTGTATATTGAAGTCTATTGGTACTTTCATAAACATCAAAATAAATTTATGATTAGAAAATGATTTCACATTATTAGATTTTTTTCTATATAAACTAGTTTCTGTTTTTTTCAATTTCAAGAGTAAGCCAATATCACTCTATAAATAAATTATATCTTTCCATTAGATTTATTTCAGTTAAGATGATACAATCAAATTGCTCTGTAGTATTTTTTTTAACTTACGTTTACTAAACTCCTTGTAAATTGCAATCTATTCTTTATAATATCCCTTTTATCATTGGTTATGAAATAGCCACCCAGTTACTATCAGTTGATTGAATAAAGATAATATAGCACTTTACATTTCACTGCCTGCCAGTAGACATTGAGAGATTATTTTTGTTTGGGGGGAGTGTTTATTTTATTTGTTTTGTAGTGCTGGGAATCTGTTTCATCATACACCTCTACCTCAACTCCTTCCACACTTTCATAGCACTAGCACAGTTTTTGTTTTAATAAAACAAAAACTCTTGTTTTCCCTGATTTCAGCCCCCTCTGACATGTAGTTCCAAACTCCCTCCCTCACATCCCAGCACCACTAAGATGAGTGGAGTACTGAACCATCAGACCTTCTTTGCTGAAGAGATATCCCCCTCAAAAAACAAACAGAATGTAATTTGATGTAATTTGCCTTCAACTTAATAGCCCTAACAAGGGCTCCGGAAATAGCTCAGAAAACTGGAGGGCATTCAGGAACCCTGGATTCCATTCTTCCTGTACCATATCCTCCCTGCAGTCACACCCTCCTTTTTCCCCACTTCCCCCCTCCACACTTCCCAAAATGACAATTGAGCACTACTGAGAATGGTGGGTGGGGCAGGGTTGGGAGATGAAAAAGGAATAAATGTCTGTAAATAAAAAGAACTGGTGTTTTGTTTTGTTCCAATTAGGAATTTTGCTAATTGCCATACATTTGTGGTCTCACTTCTAAGCAGCCCTGTATATAACAGCCTTTAGAGATTATCCTAGTGTTTTAACTCACATGTTGGTTTGCTGGTAGGAATTGAAAAGTAACTGACCCACACCTGTGTTCATTTTTAACTTGAGTTTTGCTTTTGAGAGAGTATCTTTATAGATTTAAGATGCACCATGCCATATCTTCAGAAGATGTTTATTACAAAGAAATGCAGTAGAGATTTGGGAACAAAAAAAGATAAATCCATACTTGACAAAAGCATTTTTCTCCAGTTCAGTCGTCAGTATTACCATTTTAGAGAAGAGAATCAAGAACTCTTTTTACTTTCGGCGCTGCATGATGATTGAATAAATAGAATATGCCAAAGTAGGAAGTCAGATGATCAAAGAGAAATTCAGATAGACTTATTTATTCTCTCACAGAAAATAAGAAGTGATTCTTTTATAGCCTTTGTGATACTTTTTAATGAAAACTTCATGACCTTAAGTCAGAGATAAAAACTTTCATAGGAGAAATGCAGCAGAGTGGACATAATGGTATAATTTCTCAGCTCCAAGTAGGATATGGACACATCTTGTGCTATTGCTGGACATCACTTGAAGGGGGGAAATTGGCTCAGCTCATCTTGATTAAGGTCTCTTAGTAAGCTAAACTCCCCAACTGTTTCTGAACAAAGAACTCATGATGAAATTTTAGAGAATCCTGCCCTCCAAGAGAGGCTTTTTCTTGTACACCCTAGGAGTCAAGTCTTATGACATGATTGTTTTTCAAAAATAAATGAATAGGTACAATAAGCAAATGTTTGCCATATTTTCTTTTCACAGGGAATATCAGCACGCAGAGAAGATCTTGTAACTCTCATATAGATACAGCACCGACGGTAAGGCAGTCTCTTTTTGCATTGTTAAAACTGAAAAGCCCCAAAATGATGCTGGTTACAGTAACATATTATACTGTAGAAGATTCTTTAATCCCCCTTTTGCCAAGAATTCTATCCCATCCAGAAATAATGTGCATCTTTTCTAATTAATGAGGAAAACTCACTGAATTTTCCCTACGATAAAGGAAAATAAGGTATTGTATAACTTTGCAGTATTTTTTGCTATTTGTGTTACACATAGAAAGCTTTACATTTAAAATAACAATTTTTATAAAATTTAATAGATTGACAATGTTTTTAAAACTTCACTGTAGACAAAATGATGCAAATGTCTGTGAAAATTTATTTGCAGCTTTGGAAAAATAAGTTATTTTGTGCATTGGCATCAAAACTAAGAGTGATTTGCAATAATGAAAAAAGTCCATCATGCTTTTCTCTGAATGATACTTTGCTATTACTATAGGAGTGAAATATTTTATTCCTCATTTATTGAAGAGAGCAAAATATATTCAGCTAATAATTATTTACAGTATTAAAAATAATTGTAAAGATAATACATTACACATACACAATTTATTTTAATCTCTGATTATGATATTTAGATGAAATGTCAGTTGCTAGTTACTCTTGAAAGATTTGTATAAGAAGATACAGACTAGAATGTATCTTACTCTTCATAGTTAGTTTTTCAAGTCCTCCATGTAATTCATTTTTTAATGACAATGATTTGAATGTACCATTTTTAAGAAAAAGGAGATATTGAACTATATATGGATTTTATTGATAATATTTGCTCCCTGAAATATTGATTCCATTTTTATTTTTAATAAATCTTTTTGTTTTATTTAGCTTTTTTTGATTACTTAATGTATGAGGATTTGAAAGACAAGCGGTTTTTTATGATCATAATCATAAAATGTACTTTCCTATACTATGTGTTCCAGGTTTTCTTTAGTAAGTATGCTAAAAGAAAAACTATGGAATTATGTAAATTTTATTCTGTAATACTAAAAATGAAGATTGGCAATTATGGATAGATTTAATAAATGATTTAATGTATCTTCATAATACTCTCAGATTACATTTCTGTAGGCTTTTCTGTGATAGCTGTTTGCATGTCTTTCTCTTTTTTTTAACATTCTGGAAATCAGAAAACTATAGCATTGATAAGTATTTTGTTTTCTCCTGAGGACTGAAGATCTGTGTAGATTCACACATTAATTAAATGGTGACATAATGGAGCCACATTCTCATAATGAAAAATACTACCATTAGTATTTACAGCATTACCCTAATATAAATGATAGCTGTATATATTCAATAATTTTTATTGGATTTATCTTATTGTTTGGGGGCTTTGGGGAGGTGATCTCACCCAGAAATGCTCAGGAATCACTCCTCATGATGCTTACTGGACCATATGGGATGCCAGGCGTGGAGCCTGAATAAGCTCTGTGCAAAGCAAGCACCTTTAGCTCTGTAATACTCCTCCTGGGTCAGTATGTTTTAATATAGTTGTTTTATGTATGTATTCCCAAATAGCCATTAGTTTTTTAGGTTTGACTCAGAAACTTCATTTCTGTTATGGTTTTCTATGCTATTCTCCCATTTTCTACAAACTAAACATACTATCCTATTTCTCTTTCTCCATTGTCTACTACCTTTTGGAAAGATAACCTTTACCCTTTATTAGCTCTTTTTTTTAATGTAGGAGTATTGCTATTTCGCAGCCAACATGGCTGACCCAAGTTTGATTCCTCCACCCCTCTCGGAGAGCCCGGCAAGCTACTGAGAGTATCTCGTCTGCAAGGCAAAGCCTGGCAAGCTACCTGTGACGTATTTGATATGCTAAACACAGTAACAATTGTCACAATGGAGACGTTACTGGGCCCGCTCAAGCAGATTGATGAAAAACGGGATGACAGTGATACTGCTATTTATTCAGACACTAGATTAGCTGATTGAATTGGCATGAACTCCACCTTATTTTTTTCCATTTTTTATAATTTTATTTATTGAAACACCGTGAGAGCAGTTAAAAAGCTTTTGGGTTTAAGTCTCAGTCATACAATGAAACACCCATACCTTCACCAGTGCCCATTCTCCACCACCAAAAACCCCAGTATACCCCCATCCCTCACCCTCCCCCTACCTGTGGGGCAGATGATTTCCATAGTACTCTCTCTACTTTGATTACATTCAATATTTTGACACCAGAACCACCGTTATTATCTGGATTTTTACCCCAACGCTCAGATCTGCTGAAAAGGCAATACTAGAAAATTTGTTTTCTATTGCTGGTTTCTATTGCATATTTCTATATGGTGTCGCGTGGCTACAGTAGTGGCCATGTGGGAATTTTGGAATTTTGGAATTCCGAAGTTTTAACAATTAAATCTGGAGGGATTTCTGCCAAAACCTGCTGGATTCTGAGATGTGTCCCTGAGTCTCTGGGATCATGGCTGTTAAGCAGCTTGATCAGGAGCCAGAAAGGTCATTTATGGGCGACAACTTGGGGTCTCGTTGGGACAAGGAGGGAAGGGCCGGCTCCACCTCCATCCTGTGAGGCCCCATGTGTTTTGTCACTGAGGGTCCAAACCTGACTGTCCAATGGCCTCTGGAGGATGGGGGCCACGGAGCCACCTAGGTGGAGCAGGCGGAGGGACAACACCCTTTCCCCGGTGGGGCGGCCAGCGACAGTAACCTACTGCGGATTTGGATGCACTTCTGCCAAAAGCCACTGATTTCTGAGATTTGTCTCTTGAGTCTCTGGGATCATGGCCATTAAACAGCTTGATCAGGAGCCAGAGAGGCCATTCGTGGGCGGCGACTCGGGGTCTCCTTGGGAAAGGGAGGAATGGGCCGGCCCCACCCCCATCCCGTGAGGCTCTGTATGTCTCATCACTGCGGGTCCAAACCTGATTGTCCATTGGTCTCTGGAGGATGGTGGTCACCGGGCCGCCAGGGAGAACAGGCCAAGGCATGAAACTTATTCCCACCTGGGGTGACCCAGCGCCGGTAACCTGCTGCAGGAACAGGATGCATTTCTGCCAAAAGCCGTTGGGTTCTGAGATTTGTTTCTGAGTCTCTGGGATCATGACTTGATGACTTAAGCGGCTTGATCAGGAGCCAGAGAGGCCATTTGTGGGCGATAACTTGGGGTCTCTTTGGTGTGGGGAGGACAGGACCAGCTCCACCCTCATCCCATGAGGCCCTGCTTGTCTCGTCACTGTGGGCCCAAACCCGACTGTCCAGTGGCCTCTGGAGGATGGTGGCCACCGGACCGCCAGGGGGAACAGGACAAGGCACGAAACCTATTCCCATCTGGGGTGGCCTGGCGCCGGTAACCTAATGCAGGGACCGGAAGCATTTCTGCCAAAAGCTGTTGGGTTTCAAGATTGTTTCTGAATCTCTGGGATCATGGCCGTTAAGCAGTTTGATCAGGAACCAGAGAGGCCATGCCTCCAATTATATAGCTGAGCTGGAGGTGGTTTGTGGGTGTGTCTCCCACATACCTAACTTTTGGGCATTTACTTTCTTGGTAAACTTTGCCTCAAGTTTTTGGGGTCTGGCCAAAGGCATAGCAGAAGTTTTGGGGTATCTGGAAGTCTGAAAGTGCCATCAGACTGCTAATGCATTAGCCTCACAGGTTCTGATTGACCTGCTGGCGGCATCATACCCCCATACCCTTTATTAGCTCTTAAAATCACAGGATGCCTTATAGTCTGGACTTCTCAGGTTCCCAGGACAATTAAAGTCTAATTTTTTTCTTCTTTTTTTAACTTATTTTAAATTTTTTTAATTGAGTCACCATGACATACATTTACAATGTTTTTATGATTGGGTTTCAGTTATGCAATGCTCCAACACCCATTCATTGACCAGTGTATATTTCCCACTTTTCTTCTCTCATGCTCTCTCTCTCTTTCTCTCTCTCTCCTCCCTCTCTTTCTCTCTCTCTGCTCTCACTCCTCTCTCTCTCCCTCCCCCCTCCTTTTTAAACATTATGTCTTGCATTACAAGTACTGAGAGGCCATCATGTTTGATCCGTTACCTATTTTAGCACACATCTCCCATCTAGAACAATTCTTTCCAAGCATCATTGTCATAATCGTCCCTTCTTTATCCACACTGCCCTGTCCCACAGCCCTTGAGAGAGACTTCCAACTCTGGACCAATCTTCCTGTCCCTTTTTTCTACTGTCCTTGAGTGTTAGTCTCATACAATGTTGTTTTTACATTTTATATCATTTTTACACAAATAAGTACAATCACTCTATATCTATCCCTCTCCTTCTGATTTACTTCACTCAGCATGATACTCTCCATGTTCATCCATTTATAAGCAAATTTCATGAGTTGATTTCTTTTCTAGCAACTGTTTAGTATTCCATTGTATGTATTACAGTTTCTTTAACCAGTCATCTGTTCTCAGGCACTCAGCTTGTGTTCATATTCTGACTACTGTGAACAGTGCTGCAATAAACATACAAGTACAGACGTCATTTCTGCTGTGTGTTTTTGCAACACAGAGGTATTCACAGAAGTGTGCTGGGTCATATGGAAGCTCAATTTCTAGTTTTTTGAGAAATTGCCCATATTGTTTTTCAAAAGCACTGAACCAGTTGACATTTTTCCCTGCATTCCCTTCAGCACTGGTTGTTCTTACTCTTTGGTCTGTGCCAGTCTCTGTGGTGTAAGGTGACATCTCATTGTTATTTTGATTACATCTTCCTGATCATTAGCAATGTGAGAAATTTTCATTTGCCTTTTGGCCATTTGTATTTCTTTGAGGAAGTTTCTGTTCATTTCTTCTCCCCATTTTTTTTTTTTTTGCTTTTTGGCTCTCACCCAGAGATGCTCAGGGGTTACTTCTGGGAGTCACTCCTGGCGGTGCTTGGGGGACCATATCGGATGTTGGGAATTGAACCCGGGTTGGCCGCATGCAAGGCAAACGTCCTACCCACTGTGCTATTGCTCCAGCCCCTTTTTTTCCCCTTT